AGAGAGAGAAAGGAGGAGGCCAGGGAAAGGATGAGGAAGAAAGCAATGGGTTTAAATGTTAATCTGGGCAAAGGTTATTTGGGTGTTCTTTGTAGTATTATTATGTTTACAACTTTTTTAAAGTTTTAAGTTATTTCTGAATAAAATATTAGAAAAGAAGGAATAAGGAAGAGTTTCACATACCATTAGAAAACTGGGCAAAGATTATGTTCAGGTGAGTCACAAAAGAAAGAATTCAGAGTCAAATATGCAGGAGTACAGTGTTTCATCAATCAAACTAGTTTTTGGTTTTTTTTGTTTTTTTTTTTTAGTTATTATACCATTAGCTAGGAAGTGGAGAAATGGGTATTTACAAACAATGCTGAGATTATAAATCAGTATAATCTTATTGGAAAGCAATAAGTCATTATGTATTAAAAGCATTAAAATTATTTAAGTTTGATTCTAGCAAAAACTATCCAAAGGAAACACTTGTGTGTGAGTAGATTTATCTATATGAATTTCAAAGTACTTTACTTATAAAAGTGAAAAATTTAGAAATTCTACAAAAACAAAAGCTTAGTAGTTATGATTCACTACACATGAAATACTGTATAGCCATTTAATAGTTATCTATAAATGTATCATGTAATGACATGAAAAATATCATTTTTTAGAACATGTCATATATTTATCACTAACTGAAAATGATACATTATCTAAGTGAAAATATGCTAAAAAATAGACATTACTTAGAAAAAGAAGACTTTAAGAAAAGGTTCTTAGAAGAAGGACTAGAAGGCTTTATCAAAATACAACTAGGATATTCTTTTTTACATATTCCCGTATTTTCCAAGTTTTATTTATTTGCCTTGAAATAAAAAAAAAAATTTTTTAACCTAAAAAAATGCTTTCAGGGACACAAATGGCTTAGTTGTTTAAGCATCCGAATCTTGATTTTTGGCTGGGGTCATAATCTCAGGGTTGTAAGATTGAGCCCTGTGTCAGGCTCTGCATTCAGTGTGTTTAAGATTCTCTCTCCCTCTCCCTCTGCCCCTCACCCCCACCCCACTTGAATGCTTTCTCTCTCTCTCTCTCTCTCTCTAAAAAAAAAAAGGGCTTTGAGCCCAAGGTGATATATTGAATTGTTGAATCACTGTATCATACATGTGAAACTAATATAACACTGCAAATTAACTAATTGGAACGAAAATAAAAACTTTGAAAAATCCTCTGAGGTACAGCATACCCACCACGACATTCACTCCATGTTCAGACTCACATACAACTTTTCTAATCTAGAGGCAGGGACAGTAGAACTTCTTTTAGTGGTTATTTTGCTAACTATATGGACAATTAATCTAGAGAGCCTACTGTCCCAAGGATTCCCCTCACCATGGTCTGCTCCCACCCCCATGCCTATTAAGCCACTCTTTCTATGGTTTACTCTTCATGACACAATGGCTATCTTCATCTTCATTAAAATGGGGAGAGGGGGAACTGGATGGAATAGAAAGAAAGCCTGTATCTCTTTCAACACTACATTCCTTCCTTACTCTCAGCAAATAATGTCAATCTTTTCAAGGGCTTGGAATAAGCCTTCAGGAAGGCCCCTGCTAATCAACATAAAGGAAATAAGGTGAAATAATTGGATGTTTGTCTTGATTTGAAAGGCAAGTTTTGGGGTGCTTCATTCCATTAAGTGTCTGCTTTGGCTCAAGTCATGACCCCAGAGTCCCAGGACTGAGCCCCACATTGGGCTCCCTGCTCAGTGGGGAGTCTGCTTCTCCCTCTGCCCCTTCCCCTGCTTGTGCTCACTCTCTCTCACTTCCTCTCAAATAAGTAAGTAAATAAATAAATAAATGAAATCTTTTTTAAAAGGCAAGTTTCTATACCATTCCACTGCTTCATATGAAATAACCATTTTCTAACTGTCTCTTTGATACTTCCACCCGGCTGTCCAAAAGGCATTCCAAATCGAATACCATCAAAAGCACAGTTTTTTATTTCCCTCGCCCCATATCTATCTCTTCTACAATTTTCACACTTCAATCAAGGACACCAACCCAATAATGACAAGGTAGCCCTTATTTCCTTCTTAAAGTTGAGAAAATGGAGTCTAGAGAGATTAGTGCCACACACGAGGTGACATACTAGTAAACAGCAGAGCGGGAAGCAGTCTGGATCCAGCGCTACTCTAGCGTCTCTCAACTGTCTACCATGATGCTGAAAGTCCCCAAATCTCATCCTTTATTCTTTCCTTTCCAGTCCTCTTGCTCCTCAGTCACATCCACTCCACCAATAAATCCTGTCAGATTGAACTGACACATATTTCTCTCCATCTCCCCACTAATATAGCTTTACACTCAACCAGTCACTTCTCACTTGCATGAGCTCATGCCCTCCCACCTGGTCTCCCCGATTGCTCTTGTACTCTCACTCCTGTCCACTCTCCAGGTAGCTGCCATGCTGACACATTAAAACAAATCAGATGAGTTCACTCTCATGTCAAACATCCTCTAATAGTTTCCCATTGCCCTCCATTATAAATCCAAAATCCTTACTAGGCTCTGACCACACTGGTGTGTTAATTTCTTATTGTTGCTATAACAAATTACCACGACCTTAGTGGTTTACGACAACACAAACTTACCTTATAGTTATAAGGTAAGAAGTCCTAAAATCAAGATATCTCAAGGGCTGTGTTCCTTCTGGTGGTTCCAGGAGAAGATCTGTTTCCTTGCCTTTTCTAGCTTCTAGAGACCACAGTCATTCCTTGGCTTGTGCCCCCTTCTTCTAACCTCAGATCACAACATTCCAAACATTGCTTCCACCTTCACAACTACTTTTGTGACTCTGACCCTCTTTCCTTTTATAAGTATCTCTGCAATTATACTTGTAAGTATTTCCTCTTGTAAGTATCTCTGCAATTACATCAGGCCTGCCCAAATAATCGAGGATAATCTCCCTCTCTCAAAATACTTAATCACATGTGCGAAGTTCCTTTTCTCATATAGAATAACATACTCACAGATTCCAGGGATTAAGCCATGAAAATGTTTGGGTACCATTTTTCTGTCTATCACAACTGGCTTTCCTCGTGTCTTAAACTTGGTCAGCAAGTTCAACGGGCCTTCCTCATGTCATAACTTTTCAAAGCATCATAAATGATCTACCATGTTAGCAAGCATTACTGGTTGCCTTCTAGACATGCACTATAGCTTTCTTCCTGGCCATCAGAGCTCCATTATCATAATGCTGCTTGGTCTATACTAATTGTGTTAGTCTTGTTCCCCTTGCCAGTGATTCATTTAGAAGAGGGTATGTAAAAGGTTCCAGCTAACGAGATGTAAAGAGAGGGACTCTGGGACATTTTTTCATTTCTAAGGAGACACCAGAAAAACAGGCCCTTCCTGTCTCTGGGCAGTTCCATCTGGATGTGGTACCATCTTGTAATCACAAGGGACTTAGTAGTTCTTTCGTAACTCAGTTTTCTTTAAAAATGGATACTTTGCCCATTTCCTAATTTTCGGCAGTTTTTATATAGGGCAGGAAGCACCAGTTTTATAAACTGAAACAAAAGCATTAGCATACCTGCAATTGTATAGTGATGTCCTCCAGCTAATTTGTTTGATGGACTTTAGTGACATCGTATTTCTCACTCCAACTCCAACCTATTCTGACTCTTGTCTTTTCTCAGAATTTATATTATAAATTATGTCAAAAACAATTAATAATGGGGCACCTGGGTGGCTCAGTTGGTTAAGTGTCTGCCTTCAATTTGGGTCATGATCTCAGGGTCCTAGGATTGCGCCCCACATCGAGCCCCACGTCAGGCTCCAGAGCCTACTCCGCCCTCTCCCTCTGCCTGCTGCTCCCCCTACTTGTGCTCTTTTTCCCTTGCTCTGGCTATCTTTTTCTCTCTGTCAAATAAATAAATAAAATCTTTAAAATATATATACATATATATGAGTAACAAAAAATATCACAAAGCATGTTAATTAATATTAAATGGGAATGTGCCTTGTATATATAGAAAATTCTGTGCCAATTTATCAAGTAAAATCAATTCATATCACAACCACTTAGCTTTATTCCTTTTCCTCAGTATGCTTATTTCTGTAGTTAGAATCTCTCCTAACTGCCAGGACTCCACTCCATATGCTAAAGTCTTGGTGGGTCCACAAATTCCCTTTGAGTTGAGTCAGGTACCAACCCTACTCTTCTATTCCTGGAATGTGCTTTTGTCACTTATTGAGATCTAAAAAACCAAAGTCACGCAGTAACCATGACTTGATTAGGTTGCCCTCCACAAGAGACATCCATATGGCCAAAGCCCTCCCTAATGTTACTAGAGGGTGGGGAACAATGGGTTTTTTGGGGGGGGGCGGGGGGTAGGGGAGGTAATCGCATTTGCTTTTTTCATGCTTGTTCTCTTCCAGAAAATCACTTCCTGGGTCCAGTGAATCATCCAAGGACCTCCTGTCCACTCATTCCTTCAACCTCAGCCACTATACACTGATGGTTGAATTATTGTATTTATTGTACTATTAACCACAGTGCTATAAAGCTTGAATATTTGATTTCTTTTGTTTTTCAAAGACAAATTATTTTGCTACAAATAATTCAAGTGTACATTAATTTGGTAAGGTATTTTTGGAATTTGTTCTTCCTTGTGCTGCTAAGAATTTTATTTTATTTTTTTTTAAAGATTTTATTTATTTATTTGACAGATAGAGATCACAAGTAGGCAGAGAGGCAGGCAGAGAGAGAGAGGAAGGGAAGCATGCTCCCCGCTGAGCAGAGAGCCCGATGTGGGGCTCGATCCCAGGACCCTGGGATCATGACCTGAGCCAAAGGCAGAAGCTTTAACCCACTGAGCCACCCAGGCGCCCCTGCTAAGAATTTTATTAAACACATTGTTTTTAGGAGTAGTCCACAGTCAACACAACATCTCGTTGCTAAGCATTCTAAATATTTATATGTCTGATGAGGTTCATTCTTCCAAAATATAGGAACTGAAAACCAGAGCTACCAGATAACATACCACAAAGTAAAAAAAAATTTTTTTTCAAAGATTACATAAATTCTATTTTAGTATTGTAATTATAGATGTGTGATATTTATACCATAAAGTAATTTTTTTAAAGATTTTATCTATTTATTTGACACAGAGAAAGATCACAAGTAGGCAGAGAGGCAGGCAGAGAGAGAGAGAGGAGGAAGCAGGCTCCCTGTTGAGCAGAGAGCCCGATGCAGAACTCGAGGCAGAGCTCAATCCCAGGACCCTGGGATCATGACCCAAGCCGAAGGCAGAGGCTTGAACCCACTGAGCCACCCAGGTGCCCCAATACCATAAAGTAATTTTGGAAACTTCTGAAGTAAATCTATTTCTAAAAGCAGTAGTGCTCTGGATATTTTTCAAGGGCATTTTCTTGTCATCTATTTTTCAATTTTTCTTTCTCACTTATATAAAGTGTAAGTACCCCAGCATTTCAAAGATACTCAAAGATACTTCTTCAAAGATACTCTCTTTTTGAACTTGAAATTGGTAATTGAATGGATAATAAAGAGACACGTTAAGAGAAAAAAAATCAGAATATTTCACATTGAGTTACACTTGAACAATCAGGGAAAGCTTTAATAAATGACTAGGTTAAGTTTCTCATTGAGTGAAATTCTTATTTCATGTATTTAAAAATATTTACATGTCCTTTAATATACAAGACAGGCCAGAAAAGTGCCTGAGAAAAGCAGACCACATTCACAATGAAATCACTGCCAAAAGAGTCACAGAGAACAGATGGTAAGGGTGGGGGAGGTCTTTCTAAAATCTACAGGTTGTTCAATGTTTACCATCTTACATGAGCTTTTCTTTATAGTTGTCAATCTTGGTCACTGCCTTCTGAAGGTTTAGCCCAAGGGCCTCTACTTGACCTTGTAAATCTGAAATGACACAATGTATTCATCTGATTAGTACATTCAAAATGTCCAGATAGTTTCAGAATGTAAACCATATTCTTTGAGAACTGCCACTCAAGTTCCTGCAGCATGCTACAGCTCTTTACTCTGGTTTGCCAAGATATGCAGCCCATCTCTCCAGAAACCCCTCAGAATTAATGGTTTTTGACAGATCTAATTTATTGGTCTCTTTCTGCCCCCAACATCTTGCTAATTTAGCTCTATAGTGAATAGGCTAAATTTTATTAATGTTTTTAAAGGAAATTTATGTTGCTGACACACACATGTATTTCTGATCATGTGGCTCACCTCTGAAACATCTGACTGCCTGAGCTGGCCCTTGTGGCCTGGAACTGAGAAGGATCACTGAGGCCTCCCTGTAGAACTGAAATAGACAAACCATGTGTGAGGCTCCCGGTAAAGAATCTGTTAACTCTGGGTAGCATCTAAGAGGCATTTTAATGACTTTCGAAGCCAAGAAAATAAAAGCAGGAAATTGGCTTCCATGGTCTGGGGAATTCAAGCAGTGTTTGAGAAAGATTATTCAAGCAGCCGTGTCTAACGCGTGTGGATGCAGAACTGAAACTAAAGCAGAAAGAACAAATAGCTTGAATGAAGTAGGTCCTGCCATTAGCCTGTGTATGGGAACTATGATCCGAATCCCCACTGCAATGACAGCCCTTGTTGGCACTCTTGTTGAGAAAAAGGCAGAAAACAAACTTAGATGGACTAACTGGTTTCTATGGAGAAAATAATTTAATACACTGGAACTATAAAAGTCTATGTTACACCTGCTCAGATATGTTTTAATAGTAAACTTTAAAATCTTTATGCATCCATACAAATATATAACATTTCTATATATATCGTCAATCTGCCTTCTTTGATTTGTTTTATGAAGAAGAGCCAGTGCTTTTAAATTAGGAACCAAAACAAAAATCAGAAAACAAATTTACTCTAAATGAATGTTTTAATTAGAATTTGCCAGACATTTAGTATAAATCTTCATGTTTACCCAGGACTTACACATACATTATTTAATTTTATCCCTCAAACCTCTATCTAGGTGCAAATAGCCCCATTTTTCAGATAAGGGGAAAAAAAGGAGATACTCTCTGATTCTCTTGCCTGGTATCTTAAGATATGCTTTTTTTTTTTCCTCTCTTTTTTTTTTTTTTTTTGTCTTTAAGATTTTTATTTATTTATTTGACAGACAGAGACCACAAGTAGGCAGAGAGGCAGGCAGAGAGAGAGGAGGAAGCAGGCTCCCTGCTGAGCAGGGAGCCCGACACGGGGCTCGATCCCAGGACCCTGAGATCATGACCTGAGCCGAAGACAGAGGCTTTAACCCACTGAGCCACCCAGGTGCCCCAAGATATGCTTTTTATTTTTATTTATTTATACTTTTTTTGAAAGAAGGGGAGGGGCAAAGAGAGAGAGAATCTTAAGCAGGCTCCCTGCATAGCATGGAGCCCAAAGCAGGACTCGATCTCATGACCTTGAGATCATGACGTTAGCAGAAATGAAGAGTCGGCTGCTTAACCAACTGAGGCACCCAGGTACCGCTTGCCTAATATCTCACAATGAATTAATGCATTAGCCAACAGTTAAACTGACAGAATGTTTTTAAGTCAACTGAGGGGATCAATTTGAAAGAATGGCCCCTCAAAGTAAACGCCAATAAGGACTTAACTCATAGATAATATTTTGGGGTACCTTTTCCCCAGTTATCAAGTGATATCATTATATGTGGGAAAAGATCACATACATATAGATAATTTATTTTTGAATATGACCTTCTGAAATAAAGCAATCTCTTATGAACACTGCACAATGGATTGTTTTGTCATTAAGTTCATATGGACTTGCAAAGGGGTTCTATTCACACAGGCATAGCCAAAAGATTTCAGCCCATCCTCTGAAGAATAAGGAAGGAAGGTGGTTAGTGTTTGTTGATGGTGCACTCTGTGGCACTGTGCAAAATGCTTTTTCCTCTATCATTTCATTTATAGTCACAACTACCATAAAAAACAAATACATATTTTTACTAATATAGACTCTAAGAAGCTGAGTAAATAGCTAACTTATCAAAGGTGACATAGCTAGTAAGAAGTGCTCCCATGATTAAAACTCAGATTAGACTCATCCTGAAGTCCTTATCTTTCTAACTCTCCTACATGGCTCTCAAATTATAAAAGCTACAAGGGGATATGATATTTGTCTGTGAAACTATGGTTAGTGTAGCTACAGATCTGTTTAACATATCTAAGAATTGTTAAAGGGGCATACTTAAAATAGATGAAAAGTATTTTACATAAAATATGTAGTATATTAGTAGAATGTCTAACTCCAAGAGGGTTTAGATTTAATTTTTGAAAGTTTTAAAAATTAATATAATAAATGAAAGATATTAAGACAAACATGATATCATTGTGACCAATTTTATGAGACTGACTTCAGAGAGAACAATTATGCCTTTTTATTAATGTCCCTCGCTGCTTTCGTCAAAACATAATGTTAAACTAGATGAAGCACGGGTCTGAGCCCATGTAACAAATTTCATGTTATCACTTCCAAATATAGCTATTGTTAAGAGGAAGAACTGATTATCTTGAAAACAAATTCCAAATAATTGGTACTTGATATGTGAATTTTATACAGTTAATTCTCAATCACCCCAAAATTATAATAGTAAATAATAAAAATGGCAGCTAATTAAATCCCTATTTTTATAGCATTTATAGCATTTTAAATCCCTATTTTATAGCATTGAAAAGAGAGAGAGTGCAGGAGAGAGCATAAGAGAGCACAGGGGTGAGGGGCAGAGGGAGAGGGAAAGAGAGAACCTCAAACCGAACCTGAAGTGGAACTCAATGCAGGGCTCGATCTTACCACCCTAAGGTCATGACCTGAGCTGAAATCAAGAGTCAGAGGCTTGACCAACTGAGCCACCCAGGGGCCCTGCTTTGGAAAGTATTCTTAAGCTCACATTTGAATATAAATGTGCATCACAGTTCCAGAATTTACTAGGTTTAAAGGAAAATAAACTACACAATCATGACCCACTCAAGAAAGAAAAAGCTACTGTACTTTCCAGTATTATTCTCTCTGCATACCCACCCAAATCTCCCTTTCTCCCTGGCTCAAGATAAGCATAGATAGCTTAGTCTAATTCACAGTGTCCAGTGAGTAAAGAAGTCACTTCCTTCAGAAAATTTACTGTGTATTTACAGCAACTCTGAGTCAAATAGGGAAAGGGAATAAATGTTTTACTCCACAACACAGAAACCACTGAAGGCTGCCATGTGAAGTAAACAGAAACAGAAAATACAAGTTACATCAACAAAGAAATCACTTTATATAAACAGAGAAGATACCACAGAGAATTGAGGGAAAAAAAGATTCATTATAAATAATCCATAAAGTAAACTGACCAGCAGCGTATAATTAAGAGTTAATGTATTTTCATGGCTGTTTCTTTTTTTTTTTTTTTTTTTTTTTTTTTTTTGCTGTTGCTGTTTTTACTTTTGGTTACATTTTCTCTAAAAAAGAAGCACTAAGAATTATTTTAAAAATACACAGAACTTATTATTACTGTTCTGAATGAGGAGTAAGCATGCTACTGGTTTATTATCAGTTCTAGTAGACTAGCAGGGTCGTTTTGTTTTTAGAAGCAGAGTGCCTAGTTTCTGTCCTCAATAAAGGAGCACAGTTAGGATAAGCACCAGAGAGATTAAGCCACCTGCACAAAACAGCTCCTTCAGTTCCTGAGGCAAGGAGTTCTTAAATAAGTGTATTGTTCTGTGCAGTCCTTCTGTATAGTTAAATAAATTCAACTTCAATTTTCTGTCATTCAGCATGACATTGGATTATGAGGCAAAAGGCCCTAACTGCCTACAAAAAGAAAGGAAGCATTGGCTTTAAACACCATGCAGATGTAAGGCGGAACCCATGGAAACAATCCAAAATTTACAACAGCAAATTCTACTATGATGTGACTGCGTTCTTTGCAGATATTAAATAAGAAGCAAATGATTTTAAATGAACAAGACAAAAAAGAGCTCTTAGCCTCTCTTCATACGAAGCCAGCTGCTTGCTGGATAGCATTACACAGGCATCAGCTTTGGGGTAATTAGTCTTTTAAGAGAATGCTGTTATTCCAAAAGGTTTCTAGAAACTACAAATACAAAAGGTATTCATAGTTAGCTATTTTATAGAAGGATATAAAACATTACAGACACTTGGAGAATATATTTAGCATGACATTTGAGAAAACAATAAATAGAACCTTTATAGTGGAAAGATATTTCAAGTTTAAAGCTTTCTGGATAAACACCAAAAAGAAAAAAAAAATCTGGTTCAAAGTAGAGGAAACTGATTGCAGGTTCAAGAGGCAGAATGAAAGAATAAGCAAGCAGAATTGGCCCCCAGAGATCCCAATCAGGGGAATTTTTTTAAATGAGAAATTGAAGGCTCTATATTTTTTTAAATGGTAGAGATAACTGAGGAAGAGGAAAAACAGAAGTTTGCTATTCCCAGTACGTTCCTATGACAGGGTAACATAAAGGTACATGTAGTGCACGGATCTCTAAAGCCAGACCACCTATTTTCAGACACGGGCTCTGCTTCTATGAGCTGTGTGACTTTAGGTGCATTAGTTTTTTATCTATAAAATGGTGACTACAGCATAGGACTGAGAATTAAGAGATTTAAAATATGTAAAGAGAAGAGTGGCAAGCACATAGTGAGCAGTCCCTGCTAGGTCTTATCATCGGTGGCACTAGTGAGGCCAGAACCTGGCTCCCACCCTCACTTCCTCTCTGAATCTCAGCATTTTTCACCTTGAGGACCTTGTTCTTGCGTTGGGCCAGGTGTCACCAGCTATTACCCTTGTATGGGGAAAGGTGAAAATGAAGGGTTTAACTGCGTATTTTTCTTTAACAATATACAGAGTAACAACAGCCATGTTAAAACTTGTTAAATAT